TTTGGTTTTCTAATTCCAGGTCTTTGCACATTTCATTATAACACGTTGTCTTCTCGAGCTGCCCTTTGCAATCTTCTGTTCAGCTCTTTTTATTTCATCATTTTTTTCTATTTGCTTTAGCTACTTTCTATTGAAGAGAAAGTTTCAAAGTCTCTTCTCACATCCATTTTGGTCTTTTCTGCCTTTCCTGTCTTTTTAATGACCTTTTGCTTTCTTCAGTATGATGTTCTTGATGTCATCCCACAACTCATCTGGTCTTTGGTCATTGGTGTCCAATACGTCAAATCTATTCTTCAGATGGTCTCTAAATTCAGGTGGGATATAATCAAGGTCGTATTTTGGCTCTTGTAGATTTATTTTAATTTTCTTCAGCTTCAATTTGAACTTGAACTTACATATGAGCAATTAATGGTCTGTTCCACAGTCAGCTCCTAGCCTAGTTTTGACTGATTGCAGTATAGTAAATTACCTGGTATGGCTTTTCTAGCCATTGTTGTTGTTATTGTTATTTGCCCTCGAGTCAGCCCTGACTCATAGCCATAAGTCTTTGTAAACTCAGTGGTGGAATTTGCCGTGAGCAACTGAGGAGCTCCTGATTGTAAAAATCATCCACCTGGGGTATTTCTGTTGTGAGCAGCACAAAGTAATATTCTGGGAAGTTCACTCTCTCTCTCAGGTGCCTAGAATTCTGGTGTTATGATTGGCTAGTTTGACCACTCTGCCAGGCTCATAAGGAGGCCTCCTAGAGGCAGAAGTCTCTCTGACTGCTGGCTGAGAAGGACATGCTGCTGAAAGAGACATGTGCTCCTGAGAGACACGCACTGCTGGGAAAGAGACGCAAGAGACACGCATTGCTGACTGAGACACCAAGGAACACGCATTGCTGGGAGAAAGAGTGAGAGGCTGTTGGCCGAGAGAAGGTGGGTTGAGAGAGACTGAGTGTTTTACCTGAACTTGAATTGTAGCCTGGTGCTTCCCTAATAAACCCCATAATCTGTGAGTTCTGTGTGGCCACTGCAGTGAATTATCGAACTCAGTGGAAAGGTGGTGAGTGCTGCAGGAGGAACAGTTGGTCAGGGTTAGTGAAAGGGCTAGAGGGAGGCAGCATGTCTGGCCTGGCAGGAATAGGCCTTGGGCTACTGATGGTGATTCTGTCTTCCTCTTGTGTGGTTAGAGGAGGTCAGAAGATGCAGCCTCCCTGCCCCTTTAGCAGTGATGATATTGAACTTCGCCACTGACTTTTTCTACAGATGTAGTAGATTTGATTCCTGTGTATTCTATCTGGGGAGGTCCTCATGTATAGTCACTGTTTGTATTGTTGAAAAAAGGTATTTGCAATGAATAAGTGGTTGGTCTTGCAAAATCCTATCATGTGATCTCCAGCATCTTTTATATCACCAAGACCATATTTTCCAACTACTGATGCTTATTCTTTGTTTTGCATTCCATTCACTGGTAATTATCAATACATCATGATTGCATGTTTGTCGACTTCAGGCTGCAGAAGTTGAAATCTTCAATTTCTTCATCTTCAGCTTTTGTGGTTGGTGCATAAATTTGAATAATAATAGTATTAACTGGTCTTCCCTGTAAGCATACCAATATTATCCTATCACTGACAGCATTGTAGTTCATGCATATGAGGCTACTGAAAATACTGTGGTTTGGGTCAGGCTCACCTTAGTCTTCAAAGTGACATCTTTGTTCTTAAACACTTTAAAGAGGTCTTTTGCAGCACATTTGCTCAGTGCAATATACTGTTTGATTTCTTGACTCCTGCTTCTATAGGCAATGATTGTGGATCCAAGTAAAATGAAATCCTTTACAACTTCAATCTTTCATCTGTTTATCAAGATATTGCTTATTTGTCCAGTTGTGAGGATTTTTTTTTTTTTTTATGTTGAGGTATAATCCATACTGAAGGCTGTAATCTTTGATCTTCATGAAGAAGTGCTTCAAGTCTTCTCTACTTTCAGCTAGTGAGGTTGTATCATCTGCATATCTCAGGTTGTTAATGAGCCTTCCTCCAGTCCTGATGACATGTTTTTCTTTATACGGTCCATTTTCTCAGATTATTTGCTCAGCATACAGATTGAATAAATATGATGAAAGATTCAACCCTAACACATACCTTTCCTATGAAACTCAGTAGAATGTCTGCTTCCTCAACCAAAATGCACCAAATCTTGTCCTGCTGAACTGTGGCACTATAAACACAAGTACAGCACATGTAGCAATGCTGTTTCCAATGTTGGGCTTTTTGCTTTGTTGCTGGCAGTGGTCCCACCTCTATAGCGTCCCTGTCTCCTTTCATGTCAGATAGAACTGGGCTCCAGTCCTGGCTATATCATTACTAAAGATCTGACCTTGTGTGAGTTGTGCTTCATCCCTTTAAGCTTAAAAGAGCAATAAGTCCATTCCTCAAAGAGTTCTTGTTTGGATTGAAAGAGATGATGACTATAAAGCACAAAGATCAGTCTTGAGCACATGTGGAATACTTGGTATTTTACCAACATTGGTAAAACTGTGTGTATAGTAACAGTAAATAGATACTAACACTCTATGGCCTCTCCCATAGCTAAGGCTCTGTGGCAGTGATTTCAGCTACTCAAAGCCCTTTTATCTGGATTCCAGTATAAGAACCTGCTCATAAGGTACTCATAACTTGATAACTTGCCCATGGCTCATATGCTGACATATGCTCCTTCTCTTTTAACCTGCCTACTTCCTTTCCACCAATGGGTGGGTGAGGAGGAAGTGATCATAGTGGTTGAAGGTGGAGATATGAGCTCTGGGGCAAATTGCCTCAGTTGACTTCCAGTTCTACCACTTACTCAACCATGCAAGCCCAGAAGGTTATCTGTCCCCATTTACAAAGCAGGGTAACAACAGCCCTGCCTCTTTGGACTGTCTAGGTGACTCCATGAGCTTAGTGGTGTCACTAGGGTTGGTTTCAATGTGTGGTGGGTGGAGTGGCCTGCAGCTCCTTCCCCTCACATTGGCTAAGAGGGAGATTCCCCTCTCTGCACAATGGCAAGTGCCATGGTCCACCCACCCATATCTGATTGGCCAGTGACAGGAGAAGGGATGCCAGCAAGTTACCACACTGGGTAACAGGTAATACCAACTCTAGTGACCACTGCCTTGTCGGCCTCCCACCCAATGCTGCGGGACCCTGGGGTCATTTTGGTGTCACCACTCTGGACAGTGTCAGTGGGTGTGGTCCACATCCCTGCAACCCACTAGTGAGGCCACTGCATGAGCTCTTGCTTTAGATGCTCTCAGCTCAGTGTCTTGTGCATAGTGGGTGGATCCTCAGCAAGTGTTACCACCTCCATGTGCCCCCCATCCCCACCCCTATGTTTTCCACTCCTATAGCAATTCTGCAAGATAATCAATCAGTATCAAATCTGGGGCCCAGTGAAATCTCGGGGTTTTCCCAAGAGAAGATAGGCCTATTTGATGAACTTAAGGTTACTCTCTTATTTTCAGCTTGGGAAAAAAATAGACAATTGATTTCCTGTTTCTATATACAGATTATATTCGTCATCTTGACCTATCTGGGCACATTTGCTTCTAAGGGACATTCAAGAGAATAGACAGTACAAAGGCAGACAGAAGCATGGCATCTTACTGTAACCTAGATAAGAAACAGCAAAAGAAATCGCTGCAACTGTTCCTTCCTCCACCCTGACTAGCATGCGCTAGAATTTCCCTATTTTATTATTGTATTTCTGTCTGGCAATCAACCAGTATCACATTTGCTTTAGGGTTATTGCCTCTTATCTTTAATTGCTGATCAAAGTTCTCCTTTTTTTTTTTTAGTCGTTAGCTACAAGAAATAATTGAGACTCCTTAGCCTGAAAATAGTTTTCTAGACTCAACCTATCTGGAGTATCAAGTCACTTTTGGAATGTTACTAATACCAGCTAACATTTAACAAAGTGGTTACTTGGTGCCAAGGAGCACTGGTAGTACAGTGGTTAAGGAATTTGGCTGCTAACCAAAAAGTTAGCAAATTGAACCCACTAGCCGTTCCGCAGGAGAAAGATGAGGCAGTCTGCTTCTGGAAAGATTTACTGCCTTGGAAACCCTATGGGACAGATCTATTCTGTTCTATAGGGTTGCTATGAATCAGAATCAACTCAATGGCAGTAAGTTTGGTTTGCTATTACTTGGTGCCAGCAATGAGGTGTGTAGTTCCCTACCCCAACTTGGTAAGGTAGGTTCCATTATTATCCCCATTTTACAGATAAAGAAACTGAGGCACAGAGAGGCAAAGTACTTTTCTTGCTACAAAGTGACAGATGTGGAATTTAAATACAGACTAGTCTAATGCAAAAGCCCATGCATGCTCCTCTCAACCACTGCTGGCCCCGGCTTCAAGAACTACATCTTTGGTTCAACAATCAGAAGACTGTGGGAGAGCAGAAGTAAGGCTGGGCTCCAGGGGAGAAGTGGTGAGAATGGAGATGTGGGCATGAATAGCGGTCATCTTGTAGGGAAAACATCCACCGTCATTTGCCAGCTGCTCCCTAAGCACTTCCTCTGTACCAGCCCGCTCCTTCCCTCCCCATCCCAGGCAGGAAGGGATGAGATAAATCTGAAATGGTCTGAAGGCTTTGGGTTAGCAGTGTGTGTGGTGGTTAGTGCCAAGAGTTTTCAAATCACACAGTTCAAATGGCAATTTGGGCCTGCCACTTCCTTGCTGTGTGACCTCAGTCAAAAAACTTTCCCTCTCTATGCTTCAGACTCCATGGGACAAAGCAACAGATCAGTGGCTGAAAAAGGAAAGAGTTAGCAGGGTGGGAAAGAACCCTCACCTCCCACTGCACTGGCACTATACAGGTTCATTTAATTTTCACAACAACATCTGGCGATGAGAGCCCGCTATGCACAGACTAAGGTCTATCAGGAGCACAGGATGAGACTGCCAGGCACCCCCACAGAGCATTCAGGACTACATGTGGTGGGGTTCTGGGCCTCTAGAATGACAATACCTGGGAAGGCAGCCGGCTGCTCCTGTGCATCTGTGGTGTTCCTCGCAGAAGCTTCCAAAGGCCTTCCCGGCTTCACAGTCTCCGGGAAGGGAATAGGAGACTTGAGTTCAGGAACTGATTTCCCTGAAAACAAGGTGGAAAAAAGAGAATTTTATTTTATTTAGTGAAGTGGGTCATCCATCAACAGGGTGAGTCTAGAAGCCAGATACCTGGTTCTAATCCTGACTCTGCCTCAAATTCACTCTGTGCCTTGGGCCTCAGCCTCCCCATCTGTAAAACGCAGTGGTCGGAAACGACAAACTCTTGTGATCGGAGTCTGACATTCTGAGTCAGAAACACCTGGCTTCTAATTCTACTAGCTGTGTGAACTTACACAAGTCATTTCCCTTCTCTGAGCCTCAGTGCCCTCACCCATGAAATGAGGAGATGATGATGCGGATGACATTTGCTGACTTCCCCCAGGGCTGTTGGGAGGGGGAACTTGAGATGTCAGAAGTAAAAGGGTTTACAAGATTAGAAAGTTCCCTGAACATATGAGGAAGTTCAAAGCCCCGTTAGCCCCTACTCACAATCCTAAATATATAGCTTCCCCTTCTAGCACATAAACGTGTGTATCCTTCCCCATTTTACAGATAAAACCTTCAAAAATAACGACCCTGTCTGCAGGGCACTGACTGCACCAGCCAAGGATCAAGTGCCAAGACGCTGTGAGAACTTCGTGTTTGCTGAGCTGGCCTATGGATGGAGCAGGCCACTTTCAGCCCAGGCTGCCTCCAGACGCCGTGTCAGAACTCATTTTCCCAAATGCAAACCTGGCCATTCCACTTCCCAGCTTTAAGCCCTCATGACTCTCCGTTATCTGGATAAAGTCCAGACTTCTTAGCCCAAATCCTTCCATCCCTCTATTGCCTCCCAAAAATACCCTAAGTTTTCCAGTGCAGCATTCAAGGTCCTTCACCCTCTAGTGGTTTAGGGAAGGCTCAGAGATTGCTATTCTTCCAAAGTTCCTCACATTACTCCAGTGCGGAGCCACGTGTGAGTAGCACAAAAGTGGGGCACTGAAAGTCCCAGGGATGCTGCTGACTTGCTTCATGACACCAGCACATCTGATAAAGAAAGGATGTAATGTCATGAGCTGTGAGTTTCCAATAATATATAATCTGTCAGGTAAACTGTGTCTCTCTAAAAAAAATAAAAAATAAAAAAAAAACAGCCATTACAGTGGGCCCTAGCTTTTCAGACACAAGTGTTAGGACTAAAACAATACCAGTAAGCCCTACATTTAGCATGGTACTGTACTTAGATGGTACTATACAGGTTTATTTAATTTTTACAGTATCTGGTGATGAACAGAGTGATCTGTGTTTTATTTTTTAGAATATCGAGATTCAGACAGGAAAAATGCCTTGTCCCAAGTCAAACAGCTAATAACATACAACCCTGAGGCTTGTTTCACTGTCCTGTTGTCCGGCTGAGACAGAATTGCTCCAGCCACCACTGTCATCACCACCAATCCTCAGCCCTGACTCCCCTTTGAGAATAAAAGGGCGTGACACTCTGATTTCCCTGGGCCAAAAACACATGAGAATTGGCTAGAGGGATGCACAAAAATAACAATGAAGCTGAATGAAGGGGATGATGAGTGACTTTCTCGTTATATTTCTTTTACTCTCACTAACATAGGAGCTCTGGTAGCATAGTGTCTAAGGCATTTGACTGCTAACCAGAAGGCTGGCTGTTCAAACCCACCAGCCACTCCTTGGAAGGAAAAGGTTGGGCAATCTACTTTTGTAGTGATACTGCCTCAGAAACCCAAGGAGGGGTCGCTATGAGTCAGGTCTGACGCAACAGCACATAACAACTCACTAACATATTACTCTTTTCAATAAAACTATCTTACAAAAAAAGGAGATTAGCTGTTTATAGAGCACAGGCTCTGAAATGGAAACCAGCCTCATCACTTCCTGGCTGTGTTGACTTTGGACAAGTTTTATAATGACTGTTGAAAGTAGGGAGTCCCTGGGTGGCGCAAATGGTTAAACTCAACTATTAACCAAAAGGTTGGTGATTTAAACCTACCCAGACACATCTCAGAGGAAAGGCCTGGCAATCTGCTTTAGAAGGGCCACAGCTTTGAAACCCACAAAGCACAGTTCTACTCTGCAACACAGTTCAACTCTGTAGCTATGAGTTGGAAAGAAATTGGTTTGGTTTTGTTGTTCTTTCTTTCTTTTTTTTTTTTTTTTAGTAGGAGGCAAAAACCCTTAACTCAAAATATAGGAACAATATAGGAACATTATTGTTACTGTTAGGAGCTCTGGTGGGATAGTGCCTAAGGCATTTGACTACTAACCAGCAGGCTGGCGGTTCAAACCCACCAGCTACTCCTCAGAAGGAAGATGGAGCAATCTACTTTCATAGAAATACTACCTTGGAAACCCAAGAAGGGGTCACCATGAGTTGGATCTGACTCGACAGCAGTGCGAGTTTTTTTTTTTTTTTAATTATTATTATTGCTATTGTTATTATTCTTCTTATTATTTTTTTTTTAATTATTATTATTGCTATTGTTATTATTCTTATTATTATAGTTTCAAAATTGTAGTAATTTCTTAAATAGCCCACATACTGGGGATAAGGAGAGAAGGATAAGAGTGTTTTAGTTTTCAATGAATATAATTTAGAATTTCTTTTTCTTAATTTGTAGATTTTTTCACTTTTTTATAAAATATTTTAGATACAACTTCATATATGTTGAGAAAAAAAGCCTGAAAATATACACCAAAATGTTAACAATGACTCTTTCTGCGTAGCGCAATTATCAGTGACTTTATATCGTTTGTTTGTTTCTGGTTTATTCATATTGTAATCATGATCATGTATTATTTGTAAAGCATGTTTAAGAAAAAATCACAAGGTAGCTAACATAATAAAGTAATGGGCAATCTTCCATGCTGGAGAGCACGGCATTTCCCTGGGGGCCGTCCAACCAATAGGAGTAAGCAGGATATCCATGAACCAGCCCTTCACTAGACTCAGACGCAAGGCACTTTTATTTTTTACCAACTATTGTCCAAGATGCATTCCAAGTATTTTCACCAGTATCTTCACTACAGCCTGGAAGTATTAAGATGAGGAAACTGAGACTCAGGGAGGGATAAAGGGAAGAAAAGGGGGACTGAGGCAGGAGCTGGGGTCCCTACCCAGAACCAAGGTAGAGAGGTCAGAGCTGTGGGCAAAATTCACATCCCAACACAGGGCCTTTGGAGGACATCCATGTCACATCTCCCCACCTGGGGTGTTAAATATTTCAGAAGGGCATTTCATGGACCACACAACCCCCACTATACCTCCCATCAGGCTGAGGCCTCTTGGGCAACAACTCAGGTCCTGAAAGGGGTTCTTCCCTAACAGCCTTGCTGGCAGGATTCGTGAAGTCACTCATCTTTGCTTAAGTAACACACTGCCTTTCACAAGTCCTGGGAGAAGAACAAACAGTCCTTATACAACACTGTAGCAGGAGCAATTGCAGTGTGAGTGCTGAGCTATGGGGTGATGAGAGGTGCCACTCCCACGGGTGTGCTGAGTAAAAACTGGGCCCCTGCTGACCAAGGGGAAGGGGCATCCCATGCAGCTTCCCCACCACCAGCTCTCCACAAACTGCCCCAGGCGGGACCCCTGACTCCTGGAGAGATTCCATCTTCCTCACAGGGCCACATCAATAGCATTTGCATGACCTCTGTGTAGGAAGCAAAAGGGCTAAGGTGGCTCATCTGTGTGGGCAGCTGGGCCTGGCCAAGAGCTCCCCTTGCCAGCCTGCTAGGCTTTCCGGGGTGGAGACTCCAAACAGTATTTCCTATAGAGCCCAGGCCCAGAACCATAGGAAATGCCCCTGTTGAACCCACTTTCCAAAGGTCCCAACTGCACCCAGAACTGCCTGTAGCCCAGGAGGAAAAGGCCCTTCTCCCCATGTAAGACCATCTGGATCTGTTTCCTCATCAATGGAATGAGGATGATAATCTCAGTCCTACCTAACCTCAGTGCCCTATTCCTGATGACTTTCTCCTTTCCTCGGTATGAACTTTTACCTCCGGTCAAGACAAGAGTTGGAACATCAAGGTTACCAGCCCACTTGCAGCTGACCTCTGTGGCCCTCTATCCCTGCGTAATATAAAAGGTTCCATTATGCTTTCATCTTGAGGAGGGCCCAGCTTTTCTGTTTCTTGGGCTTTCCACAGTGACACAAAGCAGCATGTGCATCACACACACGCTGTGGGGGTGGGGGAAGAAATATGGAGGGAGGAGTTCTACAGCCTATGCTGTCAGCACATTTCAGCTGACACTCACCTTCCCACCCAAGATGCACCTAGTCACACTCCAGGGGCCACACCCAGCCACAGATGTCAGCTGACAGCACCCAATGTCAGGCCCACAATGACACCATGATGAAAAGTTTCATTTCCTGTGAAACCCCGGTTTCAGCATGCTTTGGGTTTTTATATATTTTAAAAAACAAATAATAAATACTATTTATAAACATTAAAAACCTTCATTTTCACTGTTGGGTTACTGATGTTTGGCGAGTTGGGTGAGACAGGGCAGGTCATTTCTTGCCTCTCTCCATTGTCAAAACCAGAGGAGGGGGAAATGTGATCCTCTGCCCTACTCCCTCGAACCTGATCTGACAGATAAGAGGTACAATATCTACTCTTTCAGACAGGAACCCCAGAATGATGCTGAAGTAAAAATAGAACAGGCAGGAGAAGGCAAGGCAGCCACAGCGTTGACAAAAAAGGATGTTGGCAAGCCTTCAATCTCGCACAGAGCTTCCTATCTGCCAAGGTAAAGAGTGGGAGTTGGACTGGTTATGTGATTCTTGTTACTGATACACACAACAGCCACACACTTCCAGGACATGTTCTTTTCTCTCTGGGATTAAGTTCTCAAAAGAATTCCACACACAGCTGGTCCCACGGGATCATGAGATCCACAAGAATAGATTTCCTGGGATCATGGGGTAGAACCTACAGCTAGCCTAGAGAAGCTTCCTTCTGGGTTCAAATCCAGCTTCTACATCTCCTAGCCCTGTGCCCAGCTGCATTTGCCTCTTCTGCAGAGAGGCA